CCGGGTTCGATTCCCGGTCAGGGAATATCTTTTTAAATGCTGTATAAAAACATTTTCTCGAGTATCTACTCAATTTGAGGGATGGGGTCCAACAAGAACACACAATTTTCTGAAGCTTGACAGTTTTCTCAGTTATGAACATTTCACTTCAGAGATATCTGTCTGTTCTTTTTCATTGGTTTGAACTGAGCTCAGCTTAGTTGGATAAAGGTGAAGTCACATATTCACATGTACCAAACAGGATTTAGCAGTATTTGAAGCTAAACCTAATGACAGCTGTGGGGTTACTCGCTTAAGGCCACTGTCAGTGGAATCAGCTCAAAGCACACCCACACAGTCCTGATCAAGCAGATTTTCTTTTTGAGGGTTAAACTCAATCGATAATACTACAAATGATTTTTTTTCTATACCTCACCACTGCTTGTTGCTTTTTTATTTGTGCAAAGTTGAAGAGAAATACTAAAGATTTAAAACCAAAATTTCAAGATCTTTATAATGTAGCTGTGTTACCTGCATCGACATCCTCCAGGAAGAACTGTACAGACATGAGGACCTTCCCTGAAGGAAGCAGATCCACCCAGAACTCGACACATCCGTTGTTTTTGGACTTCTTACAGCGTTCTGCTAGTACAGACACACCCACTGTGGCTTTACCCAATGGCTCCTCATTATTCTGCATGAGGACCACTTCTATGACACGTCCCTCATAGATGTGGGCATCAAAAGCGGACTTCCAGACTGGAAACATGGTGGGCTTCCTCTGGACCAAGGTCTTTCCTCGCTCTGTGAAAGAACATTGGGAGAATCACACAGACCAAATAGTCACAGTACAGGAGAGGCTCCAGCACATTAAGTACCTGGAGTTGGAAGAAAGTCATTGTTTTGCTTATGGACTTCTGCACCCAGCCGATGATGACTGTTCTGGCAATTAAACTGTGGACATCTGGTCTCCCTATACTCACTGTGCCACTTCCATCTAGAGAAATTATAATTGCATATGTGTGTGTGCATTTGTACATACCTGTGCTGACAGACTCCTTCATCTTGACTGCACAAATGGGAGGGTCAGACGGAGGAGACAAAGCACCCACATCATAGTCATTGAAAGCGATACGGAGGAAGGGTGCCATGGTGACCTCTCACCTAAACCCCCTGAAACAAAGACTGACAGTTAGGCCATCACACACACATACATGTTCATCTTGCACTTGCATTGCTCAAGTTGTGCGTTTAAAATAAGAAGGAAGAGAGTCGGTGGCTACCAGTGTTCTCAGACGGGAACTACAGAGGAAGTAGAAGTTTCCAGCTCAAGATACAACTTTGGAAACTACCTGCCAGTAATGAGGGAATAAGGAACAGAGTGGTAATCTCTAACAGTGCACACGAGAGCAGAAAGAGGGAATGAGACAGAGAGAAAATCAGAGGCATCAAAGTTGCGTGATAAACAAATAGTCCCAATGTTGAGGAAATGGCAAACAAGCCTCTTTGCTCATTTACACTGTCAGATTATTCTATGTTGATTTTTTTCCACAACACAAATTAAGATCACTTGCTTACTGATCTCTTACTGCAGTCTAGACGTAGGTTCTCCAAAGGCCACATCTGAAAAACGCAATTACTT